CCCCCCCCCCCCCCCTCGGTATCACACAATCTGTAGTTTGGGCAAGGTTGGGTAGTGTGGGCCCACGCCATCCTACAGGTGACAGCATCACACCCCATCTTTTTCACACACCACTTTGTGATCACGCCCCCGGTAGGCGGGGTCGTGTGAACCTATTTCATCCCACGGGTAAAACTATTACATCCCAACTTTACCACACCCCCTTGTTGTCACACCCCCTGCGGGGTGGTGACCTGTGAGTGCAGTTTATCACACGTGTCACACAAGATACCACCCCCCCAAAGAATACCACACCCGTGTGATAATTTTTATCGTTCAAAATGTTATCACACGGGTGTGGTATCTTGGTACAAGTTGTTAGTGAAACAGCAGTCCACCACGGGCAACAACCAAGCTAAACCGAACCACAGCATGACAGCGCCCGGTCACACTCCCATCACTGGCGTATCGCTTCCTTCTTCAGCCTTGGCTCTGGAGACGCAAACCGTGTCTCTCGCTCGCGCGACAATTATGTTGGATCGACCATCGAGCAATACAGCAAGAGCACGTCCAACAAACACTGCCAAGGACACGTAAGTTTTTCGTTGCTCGATCACCGTGTCGCTCAGCTACGAGAAGGGTCGTCGCCCATTTCGAGCCGGGCGAGGGTCATTCAGCCGCGCCACTGTGCTATGTCAGCGTGTCTCTCGGTTTCAACATCGCCTCAGCTGGGTCAAAATCGCAGTTGTCTTTCGGCACCCAGACTACTCTGCCTCATCACCGCTGCCGTTCCGCAGCAAGCAGGACCAGGCTGGTTCACTTTAATTCCCCAACCTATCCTTTTCGAATCAAACCCACCAAGTCATCAGGCCCGTTCTAATTCTCCTTCTACGACACGCTGGGATCGCCGACATTTTCCTTGAAATTCGCCGCAGTAATCTCTGTACGCAGACCACCCGATCTGCTTCCTCCTTGGCGCAAACACATCCATTCAAAAGAACCCGCACCAAACCAACACTCGCGCAGAATACCTGCACGCCGAAAATCAGCCAGCGTTGGACACAATAACTGGTGATGGACTACTTCCGTCCGGTTAAGCCTGTCCGCCCGCCGGTCCCGGATAACTTCCCAAGTTGCAGTTCCAATCGTCGATCTACTGGTTCTTATTGAGCCGACAGCCAGCCACCAGCCATATATCGCCGGATCACCAGTCCAACGCCCTCTGTGACGCTAGTGTGGCCTCGATCTTCTCCCTTGCGGCGGCGCTCACGCAGCCCGCCCCGTCCTTGTCCAGCTTGTTCGCCACGTCGACGGCGAGCAGGACGAGGTTGCTCGGGACGCACCCGGGCCCGTCTTCGGACCGGTCCCAGCGGCTCAGCTCGAGGACGTTCGAGCCCAGCGCCCGTCTGCCGGTGACGGGACAGCGCCCTCGCCACATCTATAACCGAAGCGAGCGCGAGGAGGGCCGGCGGGCATACAAGAGAGTGCGAAGGTCGATGGCGCTGGGGTAGTACGTGGCGTCTACATCGTATCGGCAGGCAGGCAATTGCAGAGGTGAGGAAGGTATTAATAATGTCTGGCTTGGAAACAAAGGAGGGCAATCATTCGGGCAAGACCAAGAGCCACTTGGTCTGCACCACAGGAACACAAACATCTGCATGGAAGGAGGCACACCTTGCTGCGGCCAAGAGCGGATTGTACGGTAGTGGTTTTCTTGTGTGTTTTCGACGAGAGCCTCGGCCTGCTTTGTTGCTACCACTACGACACAACACCAAAATTGTTGTTTGTCCCTGTTCTTCTAAAGTTATTCGCTTCAGGCTCATGGACGAATGTTCGTAATCGCCGATTGGCGTGCATGTGTGCTTCCATTTTCATACGACACCCCGACTGGGTTTCACAAGTCGACCTCGAGCTACGGTCAACAATGCCTCGGTAGGGCATCGCAAATCACGGCCCGTGTCATCAGCTTCCGTTCTTTGCAAGTGGACAGGGTGTGTTAGGCCATTTAATGTTATCCACAATTTCTAAGCTGCGGGCCCGCACTCTATCTATACCCTCTCCAAATTGTTTCGACATCGATGGCAAGGCTTGTATGCAACAATGAAGCTCCAGGCTAGCAATGTCGACGAAACTCGTCGCGTTCACAAATCGTGATTCATGCATGAATATGTTTGTGTGCCATATGAACATTCCCAGGCCGTCGCTGCGTGCAAAGAAACTGGACAGGGAACGCCGACGATATTCGTCGGGGAAATACTGTAACAATAAACAACCCCAAAAACAACCAAAAACAAACAATAAAAAACTCGCGATCTGCATATTTAATGTGAGAACACTAATGATACAACCAAAAACATCAACGAGCAGAAGAACGACGACCACAGCGAACGTGCCTGGTTGACGATGTACTCCAGAATGGGCTCGTCGATGTCCGGCCAATCAGCGCCGTGCACCCGCTTCTCCCTCGACCGCAGCCGCTGCAACATCTTGTGCCTCAGCTTCGATGACATGTGGCACACCACCAACGGCGAAAATGGCTTCCTTCCAATCTCGCACAGCACCCAACAAGCCTGCAAACGAGAATCGACACGGGTTTGTTTCTGTGTGATGACAAAAAAACGCCCTAAACGGGGCAAAAGATACAATTTGCTCTGCACGCTGGGTGGTCGTTGGAAACAAACATGAACATTCCCAAAAATAAACATACCTCCAGTGAAATTGCGTATGGCAAGAGCATGCGAAAGGAGGTCACACAGCCATCAAGCGAGAGGCCGATCAAGACGAAACGTGCAACTTCGCACACTCGAACGAGTGCAAGTCTTGGGCGTGCCCGTGTGTGAGCTAATAGGGTCGGAAAAGAAGCGTGTCTCGAACAATTTCAGAAGAAAAACAGAAACGTGGAGCCACGGAGTGAGGCGATCGCCATCCTTGTTGGAACCCCATGTTAGGACCAACCTGCGCTATGGAAACATGAGGCTTCGCCATCAATCGATTCACCCTGTTCGAAAGGGCTTCGGTGTGAATGCCAAATGTGCTTAATCCTCGGAAAACACGAAGTGTTCGCCCCATGTCCCAGCTCTGTGGTTCTTTTAGTATAATATCCGTTGCAAATAAATCACTGACGGCTCGAAGTTACGGGGAGTAGGTGGGAAAAAGCTGCCGAGCAAGGTGCCTGGATCAACACATTCAGCCGCCGATTCTTCGATTGCCCTCTCCGGCGCCGTCGTCGGTGCAAAAAAGTGAAGAAAATTGTCAAAACCGATTCCTATAGTGTTTAGGGTCGGGCAGCGAGCTGGTTGCTTCCAACGTCACGCGGGGGCACGAAAAACCTCGCCAAAACTTCCACCACGCCGTGATTCAGCATCCAGCTGACAAAAACAAAGGTGCAAATTCGACTCCCTCAACAACGTTGTACCGCCCCGTGCGCTCCTTCCCAATTAACAACCGCACCATGGTTTGTCCGAAGATAGCGGGCGTCGTACCCAGCACCGGAAGCACTCGGACCCTGCTCGCGAGGAGGAATGACAGCGAACAGGACGACAAGAAAGAGGAGGGTTGGTTGATTGAATAATTAGAAGAGCAACCTACGATATGTATGCCCACTGCACGTGCCCGGGCGATCGCGTAGGAATAGTGTCGTTCCGTGATGATCATTATGCCGACTTCAGAAGGAGAGGGAGAGACTGTGTGCGAGAGAGAGGGAGAGAGGGGGGGCGGGGGGGGGGGGGCATGGGGAGAGCCAGAGAGAGAGAGATCAACAGTCAGACGGGCATCCTCGAGTGAATCCTCTCCCCTGCCATGAGGTCCCTCCGCGTACCCGCACATCGCCCATCCAAGGCGGTCAGGACGGCGGCTGGGTAGCATCACGGCTACTCAGAATGGAAGCAGTTGTTCTATCGTCCAACGTGGGTTTGATGTTGGGTATCGATGATAAAAAAATAGCGCAAACCTTGAAACTACCAAAGAACGTAAACCGATCCAGCAGTCGGTTCCCCTCATCATCACTACGGCAGAAAGAAAGTGATGAACAAAACTGATCCAACATTTGATGTTTACCTGAGCTACAGGCCTAGTTTCACACAAAATCAGGAGACGAGGACTGATGTGATCGAGTTCCGGCGCTCAACAGCCATGCCGAAGATTTTACGTGCTACGACCAAGAGGCTGTAGGTGTCGCACCTGAAATTATCCACGACGCCGAAATCTCCGGGATTCTTCTCTTGTTCGTTGGACAGCGGCAGCATCTCTGTCACCTGCTCTTCCGAAGAGTAGACGCACTCAACCGTGTCTGGGTCCAGAGAGTGTGCCTTCTTCAGCTGCGCTCGTAACTGGAGGCGGTACGGGAAGGGGGGGGGGGGGGGGNGGGGGGGGGGGGGGGGGGTCGCAAAACGCGTCAAGGCACCATTTGCTCTCTTGGTTAACCTGTTCCCCCTGCCTTATCTACTTTCTTATCTCTCTGTTCACCTATCTCACGTTCTCGCTCTCTCTGCTTCACACACCTTATCTCTCAGCTGAATCTCGAGATTAAAAGAATACGTTCTTCACATCAGCAACCTGAAAGGCATTGTATTAGGAAGACGCAAAGGGAAAAAAGGTAACAACCGGCTGCCATAGGTTCCCATGGAGACCGCACCACACAGTGGTGTCCGACCCCAAGAAGAGCAGTGTCGGAGGGCGACGGCTATAGGATAACTGGATTGACAGCCTGCGCTAGTGTCTGGGGGTAGGAGGACAGCCGCCAACTTCCAACCGAGTTGCAGAGTGTTCCCGCCGTCGTATAGTGAAGGAACTTAACAACCTCGACACTTCGCTCGGCCGCACTCTGCTACAGTATGCTCTGCTACGCTCTGCTACGCTCTGCTACGCTCTACTACGCTCTACAACGCTCTGCTGTGGTCAAGCTTCAGTAGGGTAGGACAGCGCCCGAAACCCTCCGAGCGATCGCTCCGTCGCTCGCTCGCTCTCGCGCCCCTCAACTCACCCGCATGGCCAACCTGTCCTTGCAGCAGTCCGCCAGCTTAGCGATGTGCAGCCTCGTCGGGTCCGACTTGAGCCCGGCTCCCATCGACGACAGCACCCGCAGGCCCTTCTTCGAGCACTGCGCGATCAGCTCGGCCTTCGTGGCGAGGTCGTCGATGCAGTCTAGCACGAAACACGCCTCCGGGAGAACTCCGGCATCGGAGATGTCCAGCAGGGAGTCCGCATCCTCCTTCCGGAACATGTCCACGCGCGCGTCGATCTCGGCGTTGGGGATGATCGCGTGCAGCCGGTCTTTCAGCACTAGCGCCTTCGGGGCGCGGTCGTCACCCGGAGCGGTGAAGGTATTTGCGACGCGGCGGGAAGCGGGACCGGGGTGTCTTCGTTCACTGTACATGCTGTTGGTGTAGGTTGCGCCAATCGTCTTGGAGAAGGGGAATAATGTTTTTGCTGTCATGTTGAAGTTGCGGAGGGGGGATTTTGTGGTCGAATGCTGCGCTTGGGGAACGGTGGTCTATGGGACCAGGCTCTCAGCCCAAAATGTCGTGCATGATGATGGCGTGATCGGTGGTGTCACGCAGGTACGCGCGAAATTGAGTGCAACTAAAGCGCGGGAGGTGAAGTTGCCGAAGCAACGAACTCTAACACGCTCCCACGCGCTGCGGGTGCCTCACGACACTACAGATGACTCTCGGCAAAAGGGTGGCGTGCGCCCAAACATCCTTGTCGTACGTTTCCACCTCCGAAAAATACACATCGCAAGAAGCGTGCAATGTGGCATTGGTGGTACACCATTCCGTTCATGTGCTTTATCCTTCTTCTGTGTCAAAAATAGAAAGATAGCTGCATTAGAGGACTCGTCGCGCTTGCCGAAGACGAACGTCCTCGCGGTAACAAGCACCACAATCGAGAACCCGTCGAAGTAGTCTGCGGTCAGCAAGAGAGCGAGTACGCAAAGCCACGAGACTTCACCTTGGGCAAGCCGACATCTGTCCAGGTGGCCACGGCGTGCCTGTTGAGAGAAGACAGCGACACTTGGTCGAAGTCGATCACCCGTAGTCTCTTCACGCCCGACCGCACCTGCGAACATGCAACCACGTTTTGAAAGCAGTGTATTTTCAAACGGTCAGATCGTGTTCCCCTCTCCCGATGGAGCAGGACCGCACGAACGAAGCAGGCGAGACAAGGCCGAGCCCGATATTGCAAGCATCTTGGAGTGTTCTGGTCGTCGAACCTCTTGGGCCCGTGGCATGTGCAACGCAGCTTTGTGTGTTAGTATGCGTGTGCGCGTTTCTATTCGTAGCATCGATCGCGCAAAATACACAGCTGACCTGTGAGCTGGAAGAAAAACTGGTATGACCTTTCTTATCGGCGGCATCTGTCTACCAGGTACACCCGTTTGTATTCGCCCTCTCAAAATATAGTTGAAATCCCGAGCGAAAGGTACACAACCGCCCGCCATCCGGAGGACAACAGCGGGTAAAAACCGCTCACCAGCATGTGAGCCGCGTGGCTCCCAACCCCGCCGAGCCCAACCACAATAACCAACGCTCCCCTGATAGCATCAAAACCCCCCTCGAAGAAAAACCGGTTCCGGGAGAAGAGCTCTTCTTCTAGTTCTGGCGGAATTTCACGCGATACAGTTGGCGTCACCTGCGACGGCGGGGCGTTTGTGGTGTCAAGGAAGGAGTCTAGATTAGTGTGGACGTTTCCAGTTGGGGTTGGCGTGGAGACAAAAAATAACAAAAGAACGGGGTAGTGCCTGTGAGGTCGGGCGCCTGAACGCAGAGGAGCTGGTGTAGGTGCGCGTTTGCACTCACGAGAAGAATACAGTTGCCTGCTTGGTCGGTACGCGCTGCGACTACAATCCTCCAGGTGCCTTTGTCCCACCACGTAACACCCCGCGGAAACGTATTGTCAGACAGTGGTGTTCCTGTCGCACCCGTCACAGGAGCAAGTTTCCACGTGATCCATGGTACATGGCGGGTGTCTCAGATGCTCGGGCGTGCGACCGTAGGTGACACAAGATACCGCACCCTCTGGACCGCCTCTCACAGGTCGGTTACTCTACAACGAATAGGACGCATAATGAAACGATACGTTTTCGGGAACATCTGGACGAGACGGCTTCCACGACGCCGTTTTCGAAGCTACCTCTCGTCTCCTGTGGAAAAATCGAGCTTTGAAAATCGGTCCAGGAGGTGTGGCATCTTGTGTCACCTATGGTATATGCGCGCAGATCGGATCCACCCACCTTTGAAGGCAATGGCATCGTCTCGAAAGGTGTGTCATACTACATAGCGGGGCACGTCAACACACAGGATATGCGTGTAGCGTAGGTTCGAGAGACGGGAAACGCCATTTCGAAACTACGCACATCCATCCGTCATTGTTGGCCTGCACACTATTTATAATAGCCTATTCAAGCAGCTCGCAAAAGAAGGGAGAGCAAAGACAATCCCGCGCTTCTTGTTTCGCTAGCTGGCGTCTTTTGAGTGCTTACAACATGTACGACTATCCCTACGAGTCTCGTCTCGGGTTGCGGTCCTTCTTGTATGTTCATAACTCTGTACCTGTGGTATGCAAGAAAACATTGATCTTGAGTGGAGTGTTCGCATTCAAAGTCTAGACATGCAAACTGGTGAGCCAACTTGTCACACACCGTGATGGAAGCAAGACTCACGTCTACTCAATGTTACTCCTGTTTTATGTTGTAACGTCGTGCAAGTGGGCAGTGTATGCGTGAGGGCAGACCGTTGATATCCTGATACTCTCCCAGAAAGGGCGGCACTTCTGATCGTGCATTACTTGAGGCTCACATCGAGGCGTACACATCATCCCGCCGATTGCTGCTGTGCGTGCGCGCTCTTGGCATGTGCGAGTAGGCGAGCTAACCAAAAGTGGGCACACAGGTTCTCTCCGAAAGTCACAAGAGAGTGCTGGCCAACACGCACGCGCACCTCGATACTGCTGGTTCGGTCATTCGCACCGAGGAACTTCTCGAGGAATGTACGAGGATGGGTTACGTGGGGTCCCCTTGTGCCAAGGTCCTCGTTGGCCGGCGCATCCCCCTTGCTTCTGGCCTGGAGCAGCTGAACGAGTGCGAATACAAGCGCCCCTCCAGCGAATAGAGCTAGTCTCTCGCCTGCTCCGTGGACAGCCGGCATGGCTGCCGCTACTGCTGTGCGTGTGGACACTAACCGCTGTTGTGTGTGTCTGGCGGCTGGTGTCCCCTGGACTGTACCGAACGTACGCCTCCTACCATTTTTATGAACCATTGCCCGCTAGCCCCCCCCCCGTCACCCCTCTCGAGCAGGAGCAATGCATTTCGCCTCTACCGCTGCTGATAGCATCGGACGAATAGCGACATGTCCGACACGTTCTTCGCCAATGCGGCAGGTAAGCTCCTCTGCTGTCTGTGTTACGAGACAGAGGATGTCTTTGTTCTGCAGCAGCCACTGCTATACGAATAACTTACAATGTACCGGTAGCACTCTCGGCACTGCTGTGTTGTGTGTTGTGTGTTGTGTTTTCGTCCTTTTTATTATGGCGACAGTCTCCCCATTTTTCGTGGTGAGACGTATGTAGAGTGCTACACTTTTCAGTGTATTTTTTCGTACAACTACAACCATCCAGGGTCACACAGGAGGGGGTAAACAACACCAGGGCTTTTTTCTTCTTTTTATTTCTTTCCATGCCCCACCTTCCTCCTGCAGTGCGTGCTTAATTTTATATTTATCGCGAGAAGGGTCCAGCCGTCCCTTCCCTCGTCAACGGTGCTAACGTCGAAGTTTGGTACTCACGAGAGCTTGTCAGCTATATTTCGCTTTCACCCGCACATTTCGTAAAATGTTCACCCCATGGGGATTCGAACTCGACCTCTGCGACTAGCGGATTACGAGGATACCACTAGACCACAGGGGCGACCGGCACCGGCACTGCGTTCTGTAGTCCAGTCTTCGGGGGCGTGGATCGGTACCGAATGTATGAATAAAAACAACTAGTCACGTGTACACACCGAAAATAGTTTTAGGCTACGTCTTGAACGCAATATATATATGCCGTCAGTCCGTCATGATACGTTCGGTGGGGCTCCACCTGCAGCTGTACTTGTACTGCAGTAGCAGCTTACTTTGCACTGTCGTACTTCAACACTTGTCAGTCTGTTCGCGATAGGATGGTAAGCGTCGGTCAGTACATAGTGCTTACACATTGATGCCCAGCTCGCGGGCGCTAGGCCGTGTGTTGGCCGTGGGTGAGGGTGCGGGTTAGGGTTAGGGTTAAGGTTAAAGTGGGTCGGCCGCGGTGTGTGACACATCCTGTGAGGAAACCTAAATTCAACATCGGTTAGACTATTTTACATGTAAAACCTACCAAGGAAACAGTAAATAGTGTGTGTAGACTACACATTGCAGTCGGTTCAAATCAAATACTCGTAGCACCCCCCAGTCTGGGGCTCTGAGGCAGACCATGCGCTTTTGAAACTGCGCTTGACCTTTTCGTGTGCCACTGATGACTGACGGTAGCATCTCTTCGTTGTGCAGAGAATTTTGGTGGTCAATGCTAATGGTAGAACCTAGGCACATGGTAGACTACAACAACGTAAAGAGAAACCGCGAGATATTGAACAAGCAAACCGCCAGCACATAGGCAGGTGCGACAGCAGTATTGACTCTCGTGGCACATACCGTATTCATCGGGGTCTTGGCACATTGTGCGGTCGCTTTTTTTCATGTTTCGAACTTCAGACTTTTCGCACAGGTGTGCGACGACCCCGATATGTGCCAAGTTCGCGATACCTGTGCGGAGATGCAGTAAATATTTTGGTTCTAAGAATCAACGCACACCCCTGTGCCAGGACCCCGATATGTGCGGTGCTGTTTAAATCCAAAGCGGCTGGTACGGCGACTTTCGAACACACACCCCTGTGCCAAGACCCCGATATGTGCGATCCTAACATTGAAAACCACAGTGGATAGCAGCACTTCGCGTGTATGGTATTGCTGCAACACGATCAAAACACAACCAACAGACAAGCTAGTAGCTGCACACACAAACGATTCTCGGGGAATTGCCACCACAACAGTTCCGTGGCGGAGAAATACCGGCGGAAAATCGGGAAAATGCCCGGGACGGAGCTGCGGGCTCGACCACACGCAACGCGCGGCTACGATGTCGGAGGGTGCAAGCGCGGGACCTGCCGACGCCTCACAGGCCTCACAGGCTGGTGCTGGCGGTCCTTCCTCTGCGGATCAGGGAGCTGTCGCTGCGGACCCGAAGGCAACCGGCGAGTCTATCGATGAGATGCTAGCTGCTAACGACCCCGTCATAACCAGCAACGGCAAACGCGCGTACCCGGAGCCCAACTTCCCGATCGAGCGGTCAGGAGCAGTGGGAGGGAAGGGGAGCTACCTCATCCGGTTCAAACTGAACGCGGCGACCTACACATGGGAGATCTGCCCGTGCGACGGTCAACCGGTAGGAAACAACGGCGCGGCGAAAGTTCTCCAGGTGCCTCGGAAGCGTATCATCGAGTGGCTGAAGCAAGAGGAGCAGCTCAGGGAGAAGGTCAGCGCCAACCCCAAGCTTTCGAAGGCCAAGCAGGTTCACAGTGGAGGGAAAGCTTCGACAGTCGACGCCGAACAAGCCCTTGTGGACTACATCAACGAGCAGCGCAAGCAGCACCGCGGTTGTAGTAATCGGGAGGTGATCAGCAACCTNCCACTCCGGAGAAGACCAGTGCGAAGGATGCTCGCATCAGCACAGAAGGTGAGGGCGAGCTAATATTTTTGTCAATATTTTGTGTGGTGTGCGGATTTTTTGTCGTTGGACAATTTTTTAAGACATGTGTTTTTTTTGTGTGCCGGTACACGGTGCGATGTAGCTCTATCGGTAGGCACAGGAGGGTTGCTACCTTGTTCTGCGGGATTATTCGACACTTCCTTTTTCATTGCATCCAAACCATCAACCAACTTAGTTTTCGAAACGTCCGGTACCGTTTGCATCCATTGTATCAACCACACACCGCTGTCCTCGCAGAAATATTCAACACTCTACCCCCCCCACCCTGTCCCCCTCGGTGTTTGCCATCGGGGTTGGGTTTTCGTCGCTTGGCAACGACGT